TTGTGCAAACACACGTAAAACTGTACATATATAATTCTGAACATAAGGAGGGAGAAATATATGCCACACCTCCTTCCTCACCACCTCCCCCCAAAAAAGATACAGCCATTGTTTGGAGATAGAGATTTAGGAAGCATCAACACAGAGCCAAACACAGTGTCATCTCAGCCACTCCACATACACAGAAAGCATCCTCTTTTAACACTTTTTGCCAGCAACATAGGTACCTTTCCCTTCATGTCAACTAATCAAGGGCAAGGGATATGAGACACCATTCAACATCAAGGAAAGTCACATAGTGGAGATTTAAGTGCAGTCCACCCTTCCAAGGGAAGATAGTTGGTTTTTCTAAAAGGTACCAAAACACACTTCTAGAGAAAGAACTGAGCCGCCCCATTCTTGGTGTGTGCTGTGTAGATTTTGTCAGCCTCGACGCATACTAAAGTTACCTACGGAAAGGAAACCACAATTGAGGGGTTGCCCACATCAGACTGGCCTTGGGGCATGACTGTGAGGCGGTTTCTTGATGTAGAAGGGCCCAGCCCAGTGTGGGTTGTTCCACCCCTGGGCAGATAATAGTCTTGGGTTGTATAAGACAGGTCACTCCTAGCCTATGCAAAATACTACCGTTTATTGGTTAAAAGTTATGATAAGCCATTTTATGTACACTCGATTATAATATTTAATTAAGGAAACACTATCATGTAGGAAGAGATGTCTTTTTTATTTCTTTTAAGGTTAATAGCTGTACTAAGTCAGAAAGAAGGTTAATGCTGATCAAACCATAGGAAGCAAACCAATAAGCAGTATTCCTCAGTGTCTCTGCTTCAGTTCCTGCCCGGCAGTTCCTGCTTTGAGATCCCATACTGGCTTTTCTCACAATGATGGGTAATGTGGAAGTGTGTCTTTCTCACTCAAGTTGATTTGGTCAGTGGATTTATCTTAACAACAGAAACAGAACTAGGACATGGCAGAGGAGCAGAGAGAATGCTGGGAAAACCAAGGGTGGAGTCTCGGAGATCAAGAGGAGACACCATGAGACACAGAGCAAGCAGAATGGGAAATACAGAGATGAGATAAATGAGCCTTGGGGCGGCACACAGATTAATTGAAATGGGTGAATCTACATTATAAGAGTTAGCTTTTTTAAAAGCCTAAGCTAGGAGTTAAGTATTTATAATTAATATTAATAAGTCTCTGTGTGATTATTTGGAATCAGCTGGTGAGATAGAGCTGATCAGTGGTCCTGAGAAAAACTCTGCCTTCAACATAGTATTACCATCAACAAGAGATCATGAGCTGGGGAAGAAAAGTAGATAACTCTCATCATAAGAATGCCAAAGGTTGCTCAATGTGCTCTCTGTCTACTGAACCCAGTTTTCTGTTCACTGATAAGAGTCATGAGTAAGTGAATGTGTGAGGAGTTAGGGAGCTAGTAAAAGACAAGATAATTGGCTCCCTTGTACCACAGATGATGTATTCTTGATATCCAACCATCTTGGATTGACTACTCCAGGGATGGAAAATTCTAATATCTTCTAGATTCAGATTTATAGTATAAACATGGAGGGAAATGAATGCTTCTGTATAAGGAGCGTTGTAGAAAAATATGAACAACATGTTCTGCTCCATCTGAAGGTACTCAATGACAATTTTCACACCTTATCAATGAGGCAACACACACACACACACTCACACACAGTCTAAAACTGTCTCACAGTCTAATTCTGATGTCTCATATGTTTAGTAGCACATCTGGGGGGAATTACATTTATATCCAGACATATCTGCCTCTAAGACAGCAGTTTTCAACCTGTGGGCCGCCACCCCTTTGGGGGGCAAACAACCCTTTCACAGGGGTCACCTAAGACCATCGGAAAACACAGATATTCATATTACAATTCATAACAGTAGTAAAATTACAGTTATTCAGTAGCAAATGAAAATAATTTTATAGTTGGGGATCACCACAACATAAGTAACTATACTAAAGGGTCATAACATTAGAAAGGTTAGAGCCACTGCTCTAAGGCATCAATCAATATTTGAAATAACCTTCATATAGGTGATAGCTAGAATGCATCAGAAGAGGATGAGGCTTCTGATGTCAGAGAAATAAAACTGAGCAATCCACCCAAATCCAAATTTCAGAACCCAGCTTGCTCCAGGTGTCCTCAACAAGACTGAGGAGCATCATCACACAAACAAAACTCATATTCTGGTGTCTTTAAAATCAGCACCCAACTCCTTAGCAGAGCTCTCAGGGGAAGGCTTGCTCTTTATAACTGAGGTCTCTAAAATCACCAAAGAGAAGGTGAGTCTCTACAATCCGAACCTCATCCTCAACATAAAAGGTCAAAGGTAATATCAGCAGGCACCCAGGTGGAATATATGTGACAAAGGTCATCACTCCTAGCCCACTCAAAATGCAGTTTATTGGTTAAAGGCTATGATAAGTCATTTTACATACATTCAAGGATAATTAATTAAGGAAATGCCATCATAAAGAATGAGATGTCTTTTTATTTCCTTTAAGGTTTGTAACTGCACTGAATATGACCAGATTGGTGGGGTGTTTTTTAATCAACAGGCTATTTTTAATGCACACAACAATGTTACAGCTGGAAATATATGTACTGAGGTACACTTGGCACTTTTGGTTTTTAAGTTAAATTTGAACAACCAATTAAATCCCTCAGTCTATGTTATGTAATGGAGGCATAGGCTATAAAAATGTTGACATTGGTTATAGTCTCATAATGCAATTTAGCCCTTCTAGTAATGGCTGTGCAAATAATCAGCCACAAGAAAACCATTTTATATCTCATACAATTACCTACCACCACAGAAGTAATTGTTATTATTGCCCTGCTTATTGAACTACAATAAGCACTCTTGAGTCACTAAGATAGTTCAAGGCCATTGTGGAAACTCCCATCCTCACAGACTGGTGACTATAATTAGCAAGGTTAAGAATGGCAGTTTCAGATGAACATTAAACAAGAAATTATCCCCAGAAGGTCCATAAGTTTCAGACTTTAAATGGGAAACACTGATGTCTCCTATGATGTCCACTTCCTGTCTTCAAAAGGCCACTTGTCACCCAGGCAAAGTCCGAAGCTCTAAGACAACTCACCATCGATGAGAAAATTTCATGACCCCATCAAGGTCAGTTTAGTCCCTAAATGGTATCCACTTTCTGGCAGTGTTCTGGGAGGAATGGTTTTACTTCTGTGAGCTTGGTCAAACACTTTTAATTCGCTATGGTTTGACTTTTGGTTTCAGAAACTGCCCCGCCATCTTGAAAACTATCGATGAGCTTGGGTACTTTTGGTTTCAGAAACCGCCCCGCCATCTTGAAAACTATCGATGAGCTTGGGTGGCTCACTGGCCACATCTTGTCAGTTTCATCAGCTTTCTACCCAACCTTGACTTCTCTATCAGCAAGAGGATAAGGAAGACCACGGGGCACAACTCATGTTTTCACATGTGTCCCGCCTGAGCCTCATCAGTCATCCCAAAGACTCTGGATGCACAGGAAGTCAAGATGCCCACTGGCCTGCCTTCCATTCTTCTCTCACACAGACAGCAAATCTGCCATCTGGAGTGCTTGGGCTTCCAGGAGGACCCAGGGACCAAGTTTACAGTAGATTACCACTGCAGTCTCTTACTCAAAAGGTTAACTCAACTTGTTCTAGAACTGCATGGAAATTTAGATGACAACCTTAAAAATGGCAGCTACTACGACTGATTCTCACTGGAGGGTGGGATGGGAAGCCCAAAGTGACCCTTGAGATTGATTTATTTCAGTATCTGCAGGCCTCCTGATAGAGGCTGGCCAGTTCCTTTGGCTTCTTTATTCAGAACCTTCTCTTGAGACGAAACACCTCTGAGGGCATCCTCCCCTGGGATTGGTGGTGGCTTCTTGTTTGTCCAATAGTCCAAATCCCACGCAAGAACAGTTGTGGTCCCAAGGCTGGCTAAGCCCTTTCTCCCCAGAGAGTATGGGTATTTCTCTATTGTTCAAAAGATGACAGATGGATGTCGTCTTCCAACATTCTGAACCAATTTCAAAATAATCCAGTGCCCACTGCTACCTGTGTGGCCTTGGACACAAGTATTAGCCCCTGAATGTGCTAGAGAGTGCTGGGAACAGGATTCACACTCATGTCTCCTGACAAGTCTGACCACCAGCATATAACTTCCACGTTCCACCTAGGGGGTCGCAACTCAGCTCCCCTTTCACCCTGGGAAGCTAGACACCAGCAGAGACCTCCCTCAAGACCCTGCATGGAGAGCTTCAGAGTGCTGCGAAGGGGGGCAGTAGGCAGCAGGTGGGGGAAGGGGGCAGCCACTCAGTGGCCCTCTTGGAATGGCAAGAGTGCTGTCCCCTGAGCAACCCCCCGCCCTGGCACTCATCTCCTTTGCACCCCCCCCAAGAGCCTAGCTCCACTGCAATCACCCATCTTCTCCTCCCCACCCAGTCGAGACCCGCGCACCCCCGGGGGCTCGACACCCCTAAATTGGGCCGTCCGCAGCGCCGCCCCCCGCATTCCCTCACACGTCCGGCGGCGACTTTTTTTTTCTTTTCTTTTTTCTTTCTTTTTTTTTTTTTACCTGTACTTTTCTGCACACTTGGGGCGGTTCGTCGAGGCTGAGCAAGCACCTCCCCGGGACCGCTACCTTCCCTCCCTCCTCCCCGGCTCCGCCCGGCTTCCTCCTTCCCCTCTCCAAGGCCGCAAAGTAGATGGAGTAAGAGAGTGTGTGCGCGAGAGAAAGAGAAAGAGGGAGCGGGCGCCGCGGGAGGCGGCGGCGGGAGGCGCGCCGGGCCCCCGCCACCCTCCGGTCCCCGCCGCCACCCTCGGGTCCGCCGCCACCCTCGAGTCTCCCCGCCGCCCTCCGATCCCCGGCGCCGCCACCCGGGGGCTCAGGACTCCGCTTGCACCCGGCTTGGCCCGGCCGGGTTCCCCGGCGCCGCCCGCGCCCCGGCGTCCCCGTACCTCGTAAAGGTCCCCAGAAGCCATGCCAGGCTGCGGAACTTGGCTCGCCGGGTGTGCGCGTCTTGCTCGCTCGCGCGCTCCCGTGCGTGTGCGCGCAGGGGGCCCGGGCTACGCGCGCGCGTGTGTGCGTGCGTGTGTGTATGAATGTGTGCGCGCGCGCGAGTGTGTGTGTATGTGTGTGTGTGTCTGTGTGTGTGTGTGTGTGTGTGTGCGCGCGCGCGAGTGTGTGCGGCGTGTTGAGTAAACTGTGTTTTTGCAGAATGACAGGCTTGGGGGCCGCCTGTGCGCAGAATCGGAGCGGGCGGCGGCGGGGCTGGCGTAACCGGCAGCGGCCACGGCGATTGCAGCGACACAGGAGCGCGGGCAGCGGCGACCGACGGCTGCGTAGCGCGCCCCAAGCCTCAGACGCGGCCCCCCGAACGCCCGGGCCCCCAGCGTCCCAAGGCTGGTGACTGCAGCGCTCGGCTCGCCCCGGCGCCGCCTGCAGGAAGCCGCCCCGCGCCCGCCGCCCGCCCGGACGCTGCTGCCACTGGGCGAGTCCCCGCCTCCCAGGAGCCCGGCCCGGCCCCCGGGGCGGAGGGGGAGGCGGCCACGGCGGGCCGAGCCTGGGGACTGTTCCCGAGCCCGACCGCGCGCTTGCTGCCGCGAGCGCCCCCAGAGTACCCGGCCAGGTGCCCACCCCGCATGACCTGCCCCAACTGCGAAGGAGAGACTTGAAGGCAGGTCTCTACCTGCAGGTCGCTGGGAAGGGAACCCCTCTTCAGTACTGCTTCTTGCTCCAGGGGGTATCCTATGCTTCTCCTTCCCGGGGAGGGGATTGGGCACGGTCTTGGGAGACTTGGCCCCTCGGAGCTAAAGGGGCCCTTGCTTCCGGGATGGGTTTTCGAGAAGAGAGATGAAGTGGCCCATCCACAGGCTCCATGGAAAGCCAGGACATAGTGGCCTTTCCCACTAAACCCTCCAGGGCCAGGCGTGGCCCTCCGTAGGCAGCCTTCCTGTCCTGCTCTCCAGTCAATCACCAGTTAATCAACAAACATTTCCCAAAGTCCACCCAAATGCATGTGTCTACCGCCACCAGTGAGACCCTGCCCGCAATGGACTTTGAATCCCAGAGGGAAGAGAAGGAGGGCCCCTTGTATATCTCCAGGGAGCTGCCACTACTGCTGGGCTTCAGAGAGCCAGAGGGAGGGACAGAGGAAGTTATTGCTTTCTAAAAAACATCCTTTATGTATGATCACCCTTGTGCTGAAAAGCTTCTTATGTATTAACACAGCTATCTCAGAACCTGGAGAGAGTGTCCTGAAATTGAAGGGGGACACGGGATCTTCACACGGGCTCCAGTGTCACCTTGTCCTTTTCTGATCCAAATGTATGATAGATATAATAAGCTATGTCCTCCTTAGGTCATTTGCGGTTTGCAGCACAGTGGGAAGATCACCTGTTGCCCTTTCTAAATGATGCCCATGTTGCACATGTAGGATGCATGTACCTGTGGCATTGTGGCATCCCCAGGAAACTCAGGAAAACTGGGTTATGTCATAATCCAAACCCTGACCTCTCCTCCTGGAGAGGGGCATGGCAAGGGCTTGTCTGAGTACCACAAACCTTTATCACAATTGCTAGTGGAGAGTGATCCAGAACCAGGACTTGTTGGAGTATGTCAAAACAGCAAATTGTGTCCCAATATCAAGTGAAAACTCAGTATTAAAGTAGTGAGGAGAAAATGGGGAAAGTGGGGGAATAAATAGAAATATGCATTTGTTTAGAAACTGCGGGGATTGACACAGCTTTAGGTTCATTCCCTCTTCCTAACTGGTATTTTCCCAGTGGCCACTGTTTTAAATAATACAATTAATAATAAGTAACTCTCATTCAATAGGTAGCCAAACAAGCCTGAATGAGCCTCAGTTGTTGGGTAAAAATCGGCATACCACCAAACTACATACACTGAGAATGTAATTTGGAAAGGCATGGCAAGAAAGAAACTGGATTTGGCATAGTATGCTAAGTCAAATTCAAAAAATGTAACCGGTTATTTTGGGGTGGGGTAACACACCGTAATGCTCAAATTCTCCCTGGGAAAGAGATTTTAAAATGACTAATTTCGACTGGTCTTCAGAGTTTGAGGAAGTGGGAACAGACTGAGGAGGAGCACCGTCAGGGTATTTTATTGAGATGAGGACAAGAATCTTGAGAACTCACAGAGGAGGGACTAGGCTTCTGTCTGGGCAAGGCGGTAAGGTAGATGGCAGGCAGTTCTGCAATAGGAGAAATGTAAGATTGGAAAGTGACCTTAGCTGGTGAACGCCACTTAGCCCATGGTGCGTCTTGAACACTAAACCGAGAAGTCGGCCATGTAACAGGACAGTGAGCCAAAAAAATAAGTTGCATCAGTCAAAGCATGTGGCAACAGGAGGAAATATGAGAGATCCACCAAGTGATTGAAGTGAGAGGCAGGGAGACCAGTTATGTGGTCCTCCCTGGGAGCAATAAAATCAAGATGTAAAACTGGACTTGCCAGATGCCCCCAAGGAAGAAGTCATCTCACTTCCATTCCAGCTGCTCCACCTACTTCCACCAAGCATTTGATCCAGATCAACAGGACCTGGTGACTAACAGGATGTGTTCGAATCAAGGACTGGGGGGAGGGGTGAGGAGCTAAGGAAAGAAAGGATACCCGGATGACTAAGGTTTGGGACTGTGGCTGAACCACCCACCCACCCATCACTGCAGTATTTTATTGAGTCTATTTCCCCAGGCCATGCTGGCTTCCAGGAAAGACAGATGCTTCCTGAGGCTGAAAGGGGGAAGGGTCTTTACTCTTTGGACAGTGCTGTTCCAAATTCTTCAGGTGACAGGTGCAAATTGGGAGAGTGCTGCTACCTCCCACAAACCAGGGTAGACCACTCCAACTAACCACACACTGCTCAAGGACACGTGACAGAAACCCCAGTGAAACCCACTTACAAGAAGAGCCTCTTGACTTGACTCATGCAGGTTCAAAAAGGATGGAGTCACTTTCAAGACTGGCTGGCATCAAGGTCGCAAGGGTTAGGAGCTTCTACCACTCTCCGCTACTTTCTAGAGGCTGCTTTTTTACTTGTTGAAGATAAGCTTTCTGCTGCCACCTGGCAGCTCCCCTCACCTCACAGGGTATCTATAAAGCCCAAGCAATGTCTCTCATTGGCCCATAACACCATTCATAGTTTGTTTGGCCCAGTTACTATAGTCAGTCACGGATAGTACACTGTGATTGGCCAGACATAAGTCACAAGACTGCCTGGGAGGCAGAGGGATATGATGATTGGCAGTTTAATCAAAAATACATGATTGAAAGTGGGGATGAGTGCAAAGAAATGGCAGAGATACAATGGGAAGATGGATGGAGAGACTGATGCTCACTGTATGCTGGAACAAATCTGGAACAAAACAGGAAGCTGAAAGTGAAGGAGGTAGCTGCCCAGCATGACCTTACAATAAGGCAAAATCAGCCAGTTTACTAGCCAAGGACAGATTAGCCCCACTGCCCTGACAGAGGCAACACTGTCCTAGCATGAGACATCCCATTGCCCTCTGGTGCTCATTGGTTGAGCGTGGGGACTCTTCCACACACTGGCTTTCTGACTATTTGCATCACTATTTACTTGGTATGTGATGCAAGCTCATCATCTCTGCGTGCTTCTGTATCTAGACATACCTTGTATGTAAATGTATTCCAGTGTACTAAATATTCCTCAGCTCTAATGGCTCAACACAAGGTGCATTTGTGAACTCATAGTTTTATGACATGAATTATGGCAGCTTGCTTGGTGATTCTGGCTCAGATCTAGGAGATGCCAGTCAAAAAGTGTAGTAGTTCTGCCATCATTAAGGCTTGAATGGGGCTGGAGTAACTGCCTCCAAGATGCTCCCGTACATAGCTACTGTCAGGAAGCTGAAACTTTTTGGACCAGGGGTCCCTCCCTCCCTGTGGTTACTTGACTGCCCTAACATCATTCTCATCTTTGGCTCTGTGATAACTATCATCAATTGTCAACAGAATCTAAAATCACCTGGAAGATGGGCCTGTGGTTATGTCTACCGGGAATAATCTTGATCATGTTCATTGCTGTAGACAGGCCCATTCCCTGGGCAAGGGATCCTGTATGAGGCAAGCAAAGCACTAACATTCACACATCCATTGTCTCTTCTTATTAGGAACATAATCTAACCATCTGCTTCAAGCTCCTGTTGCCTTAGCTTCCCTTGCATGATGAACCGTTCCTTGAACTGGGAGACAGAATAAATGTTTCCTCCCCTTAACCAGATGTTGTTGCACTGTTTTATCACAGCAACCAGGAAAGAAGCAAAGACAGTCCCGAACCCTGCACAACATTCAGAGAATGGGACAGTAACCCATCTGATATCCCTGCCTACCTGATGTTGCTATTGAAATGACTGGCTAGCATGGGCCTACTGAGAAACTGGACATATCATCAGAGATATGTCCAGTTTTTTCCTCAAAGATGAGGAAACTAAGCATCAGTCTGGCCAATGCTGGAGTATAGTGAGGAAGACCCAAAGATTTGAAGATCTCACCATGATCACCAAACACTGCCACTTCATTGTGTCTTGCCCTTTGGAACTTAGTCTCCAAGTCAAGTCAAACTCAAGAGAAATAGAGTAGGCTCTACCTTTTAAAGGGAAACTATCAAAACACTTCCAGATTTTAAACCTATCTGAAGTTGACAGTCCATTGATGTGTTTTGTGAATTAAATGTGCTGGTATTCACAAAGAGCCTGCCACTGACAAGTGTTGGACAACAGTTCCTGATATGTTACTGTGAAAACTACTATTAACTAATTTCAAGCTTGAGATATGTCTCAATAATGTCCTTAAAGGTTCAAGATTCCTAAAAGGGGGTAGTAAATCCAATAAGACCTTCAAAATGAATATTGTTTTCAAGACATGAAGAAACCCTTACCACTAATTAAACTTGATTTTCAGTATTAACTTTAAAAGATTTTACCTCAACAATGGTAATGACAGTTGAAGTGAATTCAGTCTTATTCCATAGCTAACACTGTACTGGGTATTATTAATGCAAAACAAAATGCCCTACCTTTGCAGTGCTTAGCCAACAATGTAAACAACAGACAATAACAAATCAATTAAAATATAGTGAGCCAAAATGTGGCTAATGTACTCTTATTTCAAGTAGGGATGAGAACTAGGAGACCAGAGGAATAGAGGAGCCAAGATGAGTGTGCAAGAACAAGTGTTCATAAGGTGAATGGATAAGATCTCACTAAGATGGTGGCATGTGACCAGAAAGCCAAACTGTGTAAGAAAGGAAATAGATCAAATAAAAGGACAAGGAATGTCATGGGAGGGGCAGCAATGGTGGGAGGTGAACAAGCTAAGTGACATGACCTGGTCTGTTGGCTCCAAATAAGAGTGATGCTGGAAATGTATGAGGTCCTAGGGATGGGGACCCCAGAGCACACTGTCAA